CGAAAACTGGCACTGACCTATTACTTAACTGGCCTTGTTGGTATGTTACGGACTTTTCTTTTTCTCTTACTTTTTTTGTTGTAGGAAGATAAGAAACCAGTTAAAACCTAACCACTTGCTTCAGCAAAGATGGGAAGATAGGTCTCTCCTGAGTTCACAGGAAAGAGCCGTGTCTCCTGTGTCAGATGGGCAGGATGCATCAGTTTCGAGGCGCAGGAACTTCTAGTTTTCCTTTCTGAGTAAGAGGTACGCTTATTTCCTGTCCCTGAAGGGCCCTCATTTGCCCCCTTCCACATGCCCACATACCTAATAATCCCTTAAAACTTGTTTCAAACACGACTTTCTTTGTTTGGTTCCTTCAGACCCAGGTTTGGACTTGACATCGTCCCCCTGCATCTCCATCACACTGTGTACCCCTCTATCATAACCCCCGTAGCACTGAGCTGTCTGTCTGCCCTTCCCAACAACGTGTGTAAGATACTGGAGTGAAGGAGACAGAGAGTGAGTCAGCCTAGAGCCTACTGCAGCAGCGCCTGAACATGGAAACTAACACATAAACGTGGAACGGGGAGGTACAGGTGATTTGCAGTTGGTTCCCAGAAATTAATACACATTCTAGAACCAAATGCAGATCATCTGGGGAGGAGTCACTTGCTGGCTGTTTGGAAATCTCTATTCATCCCCATGTTAAGTGGCAGTTGTAACTTCTGCTACTCAAAGCTTGATTATCTACAGAAAATGTATCCTTGACTAGAAAGGGGAAGGGAGAAATTTCAAATATGATTCTCTGTCAAACTTCAGTAATTCTAAAATACCTCCATTCAAAAGCGTTTCTTGTTTTATTAAGCTGTCTTTTTCTTTTAACCTCACTAGTGGCACTGAGGCCAAAACTGAAGTCCTGTATAAATTCCTTTGATTCTATATATGATAAACACGTGATCAAACTTTTATTTTCTATAGAGACGGCAACAGACTCTTAGAAAAGGTCAACTGAGGGCCAGGGAGCTACCTTACGAGTCACCTAAGTTTATTCCATCTTCTATGCACGTAATCATAACTTATTTTCCTTACTTTAATAGCAGATTAAATTTTCAGATTCAATGTAGTCTGCCTTACCCTCCCATTCTCTCCTTCTGTGAATGAGAAGGAGAAAGCATATGAAAGCAGATGAGGCCAAAGGGAAAACTGTTTCCGCCTGTCTCCCAAAGTAACAAGTGACGAACAGCAAAAAGTGACAGAACCAGCGAATGTGCTGCTCTTTAGCCTAACAAGAATTTGCAGCAAAATGCTTTATTATGGAGGTTAGTAGATGACACAAGAGCTTAAAGCAATTCAGAGAAAATAAGAAAGAACACAAATCAACACTTACAGAGAGCCTGACGATGATGGGAAAATGATGTGAAAACATTACCAAAAAAAAAAGACAGAAAAGGATCCTCTGCACCAATGCCGAAGCCCAGCTCCCGAGGGTGCGCGCATGTGATAGGAAACCGGCACCAGGAGGGGATCCTTAACAGACACCAGCAGAACACTTGCTGTCCACTGTTAAGCTTCTCATAGGAACACTTGTGAAGCAGGCAACTTTGGGGGGAAAAGACACCATCGAGAACTTTCATCTTAGTCGTGTTCCCATAGGCCTAAAAGCAGTTCCTCTCCATGCCACAATCACGAGGTGCTTGGGAATAGAAAGGAAAACACGAAAGAGGAGAGCTCTGTGCTGGAATGTGGAAATGTGTCCAGGGCCGTGGTCAGATGTCTAAGCCTGAGCCTGAAGCCACACAAAGCTCTAAAGGCTGCTTCCCTGGACGGAGCCACGTTTATTACAGAAACATCTGACAATTGCTCAGAGCATGGAGCTGAATTCTGCCAACAACCCCAAGGAGCCTGGAAGCGTATACATTTGGGTTGGTTTAAGCTGCTATGTGTGGTACTTCGTTATGCCCTCAACTGAACACCAAAACAAACACCAAGGCCAATTAGTCTGTTCCTCTCTACTAGAAGAACCTCCAGGAAGCACAGCAATTAATGGGATGTGATCCATGAAAAAATTAGGTGTATATATATATATATTTAATCACACAATGGTTCCTATATATATGGGTGTATATATATTTAATCATACAATGTTCCATATATATTTATAAATATATATGCTTCAAGCTTAAGAAGCTAAGTGATCAGGAAGGAGCTCCAGGTTATCAACACTGGGGTCAGGAGTCTCACGCGGAGAACGCAGGAACCCCCGGAGCTAACCAAGCGAAATGGCAGGCAGGCTGGGGGAGGGATGCTGGCAGAGAGGACGGAGGACAGCTGGAGCCATGACCAGGATGAGACCCAGGCTGAGTCTTCAGATAACAAGAAAGGTCTGGGTAGACGGGTACCTGATCTATAGGGAAGAGCTGTGAAAGGATGCGTAATGTAAGGGATCATGTACAGGTTGATGTGACTTAAAGGGACACACTCTTGGAGCGGCAAGAGTGAATTTCATCAATAGTCTTCCACTGCACAGCTTCTGAGAGAGAAAAAAAAAGACAAAAAAGGAGGAAGAAGTCCCCTTCAGCAACGGGGTGTGGGAGGGGAAAAGAAGAAAAAGGAGAAAGTCCAGCATCCTGTAACACAAAAGGATGCCACGTTTCAGAGATCTCACACTCCCCGCCCCATCACAAAGCAAACAAAACCCTTGCTACATACACTGCCTGGACCTTGTTAAACTGACTGCAAAGGGTA